TGGCATTGTTTGTAATTGCAATAGTGTATGCAGCATCAAAAGAAGACAGGCTCTACATTGCTACATGTATGTAAAACATATAAAAAGCAGTTAATAAGCTAATACGCAACAGACTTTACGTTATAGACAGAAAAAAAGATTGGAGAAGGAAATCAGCATGAAGTAGGCAAATGTCATATAAAAAGTACAATTTTTTGTAACTCATGTTTGTCAGAGTATGTTTTCTGGTTTTGCAATAGATGATTCATTATTTTATTTTTCTTTAACTCAAAGAGGTCAAATAGAAACTTAAAAAAAACTAACATAAAAAAGCATAATAATGATTTTCTGTTCTGGTTCCTTTTCTGTAGAGTAGGCATTTGGAGTTTGTTTTGTGAGATGGCAAGTATTTTAAAGGCAGACTGTTCTTTCTGATGGACAGTACTTCTGAAAACCTTCCATCTTCAAATTCCCTTTAAAAACTTAATGAAAGAAACATTTCCAACATTTGTTTTTCCAAGACTTTTTTTTCATCTTATGTATAACAGAAACTTTAGAATACAGATAGTTTTTCTTATCCAAGTTTTGTGTTCAGCACACTGCTGGAATGTTAAAGTAATATTAATAAAAAAATATTAATGCAACACTAGTAACTATTTTTAAGAAACAAATAAAATTTCTCTTTTTTTTTTTTTTTTTTTTTTTTTTTTTTTTTTTCATTCCACAGTAAAACCCAACATGTTTGTTTTGGTATATGGAACGTATATACACTTTACCAGTTTCCCAGTATGTCATCCAACTTGAGCCTCAAATGAGATTTCTTATTCCAGCAATAATTCTTAAAAAAAGTTATTTTTTATTACTGACTTGAGGCAAATTCAACTGAGATTATGCTTCTCGGGGGAAAAGAAGCATTTTCTGAAGGAAATGTAAAACTTATCTGAGTACACTGTAAAATCTGAAGATATTTGTCCTCTGAGTCACATTAGCACAGTCCACAGAATTCCACAGTTCCTTCTCTAGCCTATGTATCACCTGAATACATGACAGTAATACCTGTTTAGTAATCCACTTAAGCTTTCTATTACTAGATTTTTAGCTCCTCTTAAATTTGGCTGTGATGGTCCTATCTCTTATTAGACAATTTCAAGCATTCTTTACTAACTTTGATTAACATAAAGACTTTGACAGGTCCTTATGGATCTAGATTTTTATTTCAAGCTTCATCTTTCTGACCTTTAGGTGTCTCTGTGGTTTAATTCTCCTATATCATAACAATTGATGGTTTTCTATATTTAGTGTAAATGCTTTCAGTCCTAAGTCTCCGGCCATACATATATTCTCATGTATTGAGTGCACTTCAGTGAGAGACGCATCTTTAAAATATCATCATGTTTTTCTCTTTTTAGAATATTTATATGCATCAAAAGATTTATTATTATTATCATTATTATTTTATAAGATGCTAAGTTTGCAATAATTGCAGGGAGCTCTCTGCTGAGTCCTGATAAAAAATATTCAAATGCCTTGCTTGATCTCTATTATGAGACAGATAAAGCCAAGGAACCAACTGATGAGAAACATGCAAACAATAAAACACAGGCAGTAATCACCTGCTGTGATACTACAGACTAAGAGCAACACAACCACACTAAAAGGAAGGAAAAATGCTCAGTAAAAATTATGTGGTATACATCATTAGGTAGACACAGACAACAGTCATGAATATGGTAAAAGCTGCAAAGTGAGAACAGCTAACTAGATTAGGATTGGCTATACTGCAGTCTCTCAGACTGGCTGCAGATTGGAAAACAGAAGAGGTAGGTGGTAGGTTCTCCTACGACATAAAATCTGGTCCGCTGATACTGCTGGCAAAGAAGCTGTAAGACTTCCTTTCTTAAGCCTTATAAAAACAGTTGTTGTTGTTTTTCTCCCCTGATCCCCCACATTGAAAAGCAGTTCTAAAAACAAAGAATCAGCATAGTTGAAAGGAGTCCCAAGGTGGCGTTTAGTCTACCCTACACCTCTGATACATCAAAAATTTCTTTTCATTTCAAGTTTAAATGAAGACTAACATAGTTATTATCTTTTTAAATAATATGTTCTCCAGTCCTCTATCTACATATTTTTATTTCCCACTTTTTATGAACACGAGTCTTAACTGTACAGACCAGAGACTCTGAACTATACAGCTGCAGAAGGCCTATGGCAAAGCATGCCATTCAAATGTTTTGAAAGTTTCCGAGAGTTCATCTTTACTAAAGGTAAATGAGAAACCTGAAGAGTCCTCTTTTAGATTAAAGCTGTCATCTAATGGTCCAAAGAGAGAACTGGGCATTTTAAGTCTCTGAGTCTATTCTCAGCTATGCCTTTAATTCATTTGATGAAAGTTTGGCTCATAACACCTTTTACTCCAGACCAAATATGCAGTAGACAGGGTAGATTACTACCACTTTCACTGAAACTTTTCCCAAGATTATTTAGCTTTCCAAGTGCTCTGAGATACTCAGAATAAAAGGTTTTAAAAACAAATTAAAGTCAGTAAATACTTTTCACCACCTACATTTACTATCACTACAACCAGTAAAGACGGGAAATTAGTAGTAATAAGACACATAATTCTGATTGTTTTGAAGGATAAATATCTACAACAATAAAAAAATTGGTTGAAACAGAAGAACCTCTGATAAATAAACAAGTTTCGATATTCCTGCTCCTCATTCATTAGAATTTTATTAATATAAATACTTCATCCATTCAACATTTACAAGAAGGCATAAAAATATTTCAGGTTGCTTCTTCCTACATTAATCTAACAAACTCTTAGAAGAAATAAAGTACTTTCTTGTCCAGGTACACTACTTACTGACAAAGTTCTACTATGGCTGAAAAACTTTTGACTCAAAACAGGTAATGTCCAGGTTCAAATTCATTGAAACTTAAACAGAACACAAACTTTATACCTGATTCCTTTGTCTTGCAAGAACACTAGGGTTTATAGAGGATTTCTGCCTTAGATTGGTTTCCATCAGTGCCTAAGTATTAGCAAGACAACTATATAGTCCAAAGCTAAGCACTTTTTTGAAACCATCAACACAATAATTTTCTAATTAATAAAAAACCAAAACTATTTCCATAGCTGAATTGGTAAGTGTTTTGTGACACAGCAGAGAAGACATGCTAAGACTGGTAATAAATTACAAAACCCATTAAGATTAATCTCAAATCAGTTTTAATTAAGAAATTTTTACAGTAAAGGTTTTCCTACTTTCCTCATGGAGCTTCCTGAGAAAAATCAGAGTTATTTAAAACTATGGCAAGATTCTGTGCAAAACAAAATACTTGCTTTTTCTCGCAAACTTTTGTATGGGATAAACAGGGATAACTGAGGCAGAAAACCTTTAGATTGTGCTCTTTTCTATGCTAGTCAGGAACGTTTAACAACAGACCTAGACCATATGTTTGGTTTTTTGGGTGCCATCAGGGGGAGATAAATATTTTTGAAAACTTGGTATAATTCTAAGCTATTATGTTAATTCTTAAAGTTCAACTGAAAGACAGGAACAAACCTGTTGGATGTTTTCAATCTAATGAAAATGCAATTCTACCACCACGATAAATGTTAAGAAGAGAAAAAATGCTGGGAATATGCATAAAACATTAATTTTTTTTTTTAAAAAAAAGGTAATACATGAACCTTTTTTTAGTATTGAATTACTGCCAGTCTAATAAATAGACCACAGATGATGACAAACCTCAGAATTAAGCTTTTTCTCTGAAATGAAGGCATATAAAAAATTGGCTTAATATGGCCGGGGGGGGAGGGGGTAAGTATTTTTCTTCTACCTCTCTACCTCTTTAATATTCTGGAACACAATTGAGTACATGTTTCTCAGTGTGCAACATTAGGCCTGCCCATTAAGCACAACATGGTTAAAACCAACCTTTCATTTTTCCTTTGTGTTGTACTCATTCTAGGTCACTGGGGAGATTAACACCACCATCTGTCATTCACCAGGAGACTGTCTTCTGCAGTTTTGGCTACTTCAAATTTTCACCCAGGTTATGCTTTCTACATAATACCCCATTCAGTGACAATCCATCACTAGAATTCAAATTATTACGAAACAGCACCTCAAGGTTTATCTTCTGGTAGTTACTTATACTTGCTAAGACTTTGCTTCAGCTTCTCATTTTCCTGCAATAATATTCTTTCCTCTGGCTTTGGCAGTGTTATCCATTCATGAATATCACACTGGGGTTATCTTCCCAGTGTACTGCAGTGAACATGTCACCCTGCTCTCTATATGTCTCGGCTACATTTTTCTCCTTCACCCATATACTGCTATGCATCATCTCTTCCACCTTCAAGAAAGCAATGTCCCATTTTGATGTTCCCATCACATGAAACCTATCACCTATATTTGTTCAGATATAAAAAAAAAAACCCTATATGGTTTCCCATATGCTTCACTTCATAAATTGGGTATCCATAAAGCACTTCTCTTCTCTCAAAATCATCCCACTGTAGCTTCAAAGCCTGACAGCTGCTGGCCTGCTGCCATGCTAAGATCACTATTGCTATTCAAGCTTACTTCAGTACTTCCTGGTGGTTTCATGTATTCACTTATTAGCTCCTTATATCTTTAGCTTTTAAGCTTATCTTTTTCTGTGCTGTACAGGATCTGATACGCTGGAGTCCTGGGCTCATAGTTAGAGTTCCTATGTACTCTCGTGACACAAATAAAACACACCAAAAACCTGCCAAATATACATCCGTATCTGCACCAGCCTTGCCTCAGAAACCTCATGTTCTAGATTATATTGTGAAAAAGTTTAATTATATGTATTTCTGACTGATAAACTGTGTGAATTTCAGCACACGAGCAATACCGAGACAAACACACTCTGGTGACTCATGTCAGGGATAGAGCATACAGACGTACACAGATGCCCTATGGACACAGATATTGGCATATGGTTATACATATTTGCTGAAGGTACAGCTGAGAATTACTTACCACACTGCAGCCAGGACAGTCAGGACCATTTTCACATGTCCTACGCCGCGCCTGGATCCCTCCTCCGCACTGAGCAGTGCAGCGCTCCCATGGACCCCAGCCTGTCCAAAACACGTGAGGGGGGCACAACAAATGCTCATTGCAGTACCTGCAAGAAAAGGCAAACAAAGGGGCAAAGAATGTTTTTAGTACCAAGACAAGATCTCCCCCAGAAGTCACTCATTTGCATTATTCAGATAGATGTTTGGACAGGGAAATATTTTATACAAAGGGCCCCTCTCTATTCATAAAGCACTGAAATAACAGTTGTCACACTGCACAGTGTGTTTAAACATTTGAGAGTTTTTGAGGCCATAATTGCGTGGGTGAAGCATTTGTTTGCTTTATTCAGTGCCTTTATACAATCCATGAGATAGAACCACGCTATTGTACTGTGAATATGTTACCAAGGTTGACAACTACTTCATTAAAAACAGTTGTGGCTATACATCTGGGGCAGAAGTGAGTCAACCAAATGGAAGGCAACCATTTATGCATGCAGTCTTTTATCAGTCTCCAGCTAAGCACTGATTAGGATCCATATCTCTCCTCTTCAGAAAGCTAAACTTGCTTTTTGCCTTCCACAGTGTCACCACTTTATGGGTAAAATAAAAGCTAAAATATTGATTGTCTTTTAAAGGGTGTTTTTAGCTATTATGATCTTTGAAGGATTACCCAGTGGGCTGCAAACTCATTCAGAGGCCTACTAGGTTCTTGAGGGAAGCAGGAATATTTTACTACTGAGCTGTCATTATTGTAAAAAGACATTAAGATATGTGGGAGGGTCCCAACTTTTAGTGAGTTTTTTCATTTTTGGTAAAAACCTGATTCCTGATTTCTTGTGTGCCATCCAATAACTCTAGCCATAGCATATGGTGCTTAGTAAGGACCATCTACACAGATCCAAAGGATTTGGACCACCAGCAAGTGTGACTGGGGCTCTTAAAAGATACCAAGTTGTTATTTCAGATAAGGCAAAGCCACAATATTCAGAAAACAGATGACCCTGAAGGAGCGCTCTAATATTTTCTGAATGCAGCTGTGTGGCTCTTGTTCCAACTACTCAACTGGCCTGAACAAACAAAGCAATCTGTTACAATATTTCCTCATTTTTTACACTAGATATCCAAAATCCACTGTCATCTTGCCCTTTTAACAAGTTTCCATCAATTTGCACTCTCCTGCAATGAAAACTGCAGTTTCATTCAGTAATTCATTTTCTACAAAAAGAGAAATGACAGTATAAACTGTTGTAATTTTCAACAAGAATAACCATAAGTACTTTTTGGGTTTGGTGTGGGGTTTGTTTGGGGGTTTTTTTGTTTGTTTTTTTTTTTTTTTGGGGGGGGGGGGGTTTTTTTGGGGTTTTTTTGTTTTTTTTTTCAGAAAGCCTCAAGGTCTTCAAGCTCTAATCCTTCATTATCAAAGAATTTGCACATTCAGAAGTTCATGGGGAAAAAAAAAAGTTGTTTGTGTATGATATATACAATGGTAGGTTTAACACGTGCTGATTCAGAATTTGTCCCTAGGTCTGAGCAACTTCATAAAAATTTAAGAGGTTGGAAGTGGGATAAATAGGGTGATTACATTTAGTTTTGTGTTTCTGTATAGTTAAGGAAACTATTAATAGCTTGTATTAACCTCATCTGACATTTACCTGTAAACTGAGGAAAAAAAAACTTCAAACCCTCAATATTTATGAATCTGCTATCTCAGAATTCTTCAGTGCATGATTTGGGTAAATGTTTTTCAACAGTAGCTTATACATAAACTACCTATTTTTCCTTCTGCATGTTCAATATTTGCAATTCACAGTTCGCATTATGCTATCACTAAAGGTGCAGAGGAATATTCTGCGCCTGGATATTCTTCCCCCGAACTTCCAAAAGCTGCACACATTCTTTGTCACATGAAGTCATTTCTGTGAAGGTTTGTGATAGTTTGTCTCTGTGATCATTTGTTGAGAATGTGTACCCAATGAAACAGAGATGTAACATCATCATTTATTTAGTCAAATGAGTACACATTTTGCATAATTTAATTGGTTCTAATGGATATGTGCTAAATTAATTTGGGATGCACACATAGCATAAAGCAAGTCTGCCATGAAGTTGACAATTACTGACATTCAGCCATGCAAAAAGTAAAATTAAGGGTGAGACTCAACTTACCTTAAAGTATAGGCATATACAGTGTCTATAAATGAAGTAGTTATATAAACTTGAGCAACAGTTCATGGAAAGAAACAGACCTTTTAAAAATGTTATTTGTGTCAGCCTAAAGCCGATGTCTAATTAATGTAGGTCATACACAGCCCTCAATATACTGATTTTTCTCTGCTCACTATACAGGCTGCATGGGAGACAGACATTTAAGCTCCCATTATGGTAAATGGAAATTTTGTCAATACAAGCTATGGAGACTAGAATGACTAATTTGATCATATTTAGGAATATAGAGTAGGAGTAGACAAATCACACTGTTCTCCACAGCCTGCATTGACTAGATTTCTACAGATTGTAGTGGAAGTTCAGACACCTGAGTCACAGATAAGAACTCACATTCGTGGACACCTGAAGCTAACCATGACAAATCACACGTTGATGAGACTCATGACACTATACAGCACCTCTTTTAGTGTCAACGTGTCCTATCTCTCTCACTTTAGCGGAAGACAGAAAAGAAATTTAACAACTGATATAGTAAGCACTTCAAAGGCTGGCGATTCTGTTAACCAATAATATTTAAAGACACAGTTGAAACTACAAGAAGCAGCTGAAAAAAGCCCTAAAATTCCAATATAAGCTACTTAACTTCAATTTAGGATTTTTGTTTGTTTAAAGTCAACAACAGAAGTGACTGTCAATTTTTCTTATTTTTTCAGGTAAAGAAAAAAAAACCACACAACACGGCATACAAGTGGAATCTTATTTTCATTTCAGCCAGCCAGCCTCTGAAAACATCAGGTATGTTTTCACAGCTAGACACATCCCTGCAATTGATCTTTGAGAGCTGTGCTACAGCATAGGGCTTTGAGCCAAGTTTCATTATATCTCTTCTTGGCTGCATTTCAAGTCACTCAGTAACCCTTTTTCCCTTTTGCTCTTTCTTCCCCTCTTAATTTTGTTCTCAGGACCCACAGGGCTAACATTTTACAAAAATTCAACAAAACATGCAATGCAAGAAACTGGAATCTGTGAAACCACTGCCCTCTCCCCTAATCTAACTGCAATGAGGTCAGAAGGGAGATCAGCCTAGAGAAACGTGGGTTTTGTACAGTGACCCTTCCCATTTCCCCTTGCAGTGAATCCAAGTTCAAATGCCCTAATAAAGGCATTGTCATACTGGGGGAAGGGAAAACATCCCCTGTCCAGTTGTGACCACAACCACTAGTTCCTACAGTAATTTAAAAATTTTTACTCCAGGCAATTCGAGTACAACTGGAATTATTATTCTTGTTCGTATGAAAATCTCAACCTTTAGTAAAACATCAATTTGTTTCAGTGTAGCTATGCAGCACAGAGTACCACAGGCTAACTGCAGAAAAGTTACAAATGTGTCCTTTTTTTATTCCAGAGAGAGATGCTATTTAATTTTAATACATCATTCTTAATTTTGAACTATATTATAACAGCATGTATTTAAGAAAAACTAGATAACCTTGATCACTGTCTGCTCATTTCTTTGCAATATACTGTTATGTGGTGGGTACTCAAGATTACCAGCTGCTGACTTACTGGGAAGCAAAAACTATATGGAGGCTGATGAGAATGCTGGATTCCTTTAATTGAAAGCAGACACACAACATACACACATGCCTTACGGGATTGAGATTGCTGAATCAACAGAAATCCCTACCCAAGAGACTGCAGAAGGTGGCAGGGGCTAGGGCGTGTGATCCCAGGGGCTTCTGTGGAAGAAGAGGAGGGAGCAGAGGGAGCAAGGAGGATGGAAGCACACACTTCCCAGCAGACAGGACAGCCATGGGAGCACAAGCAAGCCCAAAGCCTCCTGGTGTTTGATCTCTGACCGGGCTTGTTTGCACTGCTTGGAAAAAAGCAGCAGTGCTGCACAGAGCAGGCACCTGACTCAGCAATTCCTCCTTATCATGGAAACAAGCCCAAAAGCTCTGAATATCTGCTGAGGATTCTGCACAAAAAAGGTGACAATATGTACCGCTTCTAATCTTCTTATATACCCCAAAATTTCCAGGGCTTTCAAATGTTTACTCCTCATCTGCAGCCAATTTATTTTTCTACTTCTGATTTGCCATGCTTAGTTTCTTTCTCTTTTTTTCCTATGTAATAAAAGATAACTCAACTCACTAAAAGCAAGACATTATCATTCTAATGTTCCTCATTTTTGCACAAATAGGAGGGAGACCAGTGGACTTAAGGAGCCCATACCCAGATCATCTTCTACAGAAAGGATGGGATCAACATTTTCACTCAATTAAAAAGTCACAACAGGATACTATAGACTCTAGAAACTAAAGGCTGCAGAGTTTTCTAGCAGCTTCAGTGAATACTTCTCATACAGGAAAAAAGAAAAAAATTTTAAGCCCCTAAGGAATTCATCAGGATATCTTCCATCTGGAGTCTTAACTACAGAACTATTTTATGTGACTAGCAAATTTTGTTAAAATACTATTTTTACTCCCTCTCCATATTCTATCTAAATGCACATTAGCTGAACTTTTGACCTATTTCTACAAGGTGAGCTGAATTTATAATATGAGTCATTGCTGCTATCTCTCAACTGTTTTCCACACCCCCACCACTCCTTTAGCGGCAGAGCATGCAACAGCTTAACCTATCTGCAACACTTTAAATTGGTAAATATTGCCATTGATTTCAAGGGAATGACCAGCAAGCACAGAGCTGCCTGGCACATTACTCATGTAGGATCATGGCTTTCATGAGGTAAAACAAACATAACCTAGACAAACATTTAGCTCTTAATGCATGAACAAATACTCTCAAACTGAATATGCATTCACATCTGTAAGTGAATTTAGCTCAGCTATATGCTGCCTTTTCTGTGTTTGCTTTCTATGAAGTTATGCACTGGAATTCTATGGAAATCACTGTTTGTTGAAAAGCTGTTTCAAAGACTGGGACAATGCCGGCTGTGGAAACTGAATCCTGTATTTATGCCTCTGTACATGGGAAGGTGACGTGAATATGCACTTTTATAAAGACAAATGCACACAATATGTAAACCAACTATTCTATTTTCTACTAAGACTACACATATATTCATTTTACATATGAGCTGGGCCATTAAGAAAGTAAAATGTTAGCTATTTATAAACATCAGTTAATTTAAATGAGAAAATCCGAGAAGCTGCTTATTGGTAGTGGGGATATAAAACCGAGGTAAATGTTTCCTAGGAGTTACTGCATGTGGAATATTTGCTCAGTCTGCCTAAATGTACTGGGCCCAGTTCTCAAAGGAATTTCCATTTGGTGCAGATGTAACTCTAAGGGTACTGGAGTGAAGCAGTGAACAAGGACTACTGTAAATACTGGTACTCCATTGCCCTCATAGCTCAAAACACTCCACAAGCTGTCAGAGTCCTGAGGACACTCATAAAGTTATAATGGCCCCAGTCAGCCTCAGCTGGGACATCTACCCTTACTCGTGGAGCTCTATTTAAGCTCTGACAGGGACCTTCAACCCTGCCTGAGCTGTACTGTTGGAGTAGTGCTGGACCTTGTCCCTGGCCCACCATGGAGCCCCTTCATCTAGACCTTAATGTGTGGACTGGCTTCTGGCCTTGGCCCTGTTACTATAGACCTGCCCAGTGACCACTGAACCTGAACCTAACCCTGGCCTGTGGCTTGGCTTCCCAGCTGGACCTCATCCCTATGACATCATTTATCACCTAGACTCTTTGTTGGATCTGGCCACAATCTCCAGTCATGCCCTGTTCCCCTGCTGGGGGTGGTGGGATGGGCCCTGGCTGGTGAGTTTCCCAGGACTCTTTTTTTTCAGCTCTGAAGAGATTTATCCAAGTACTTGGCCTGAAACTGACAAAAATCCTGGCAAATAACTGATGCCTCGTTCCTCTAGCTGCTTTACAAATTATATGGCAAAACTTCCTAACATATCACACCTTCTGGAAATAAATTTTAAAAGTACTTTAAAAAAAAACAACTTTAAAAGTATCAGCATACATCATGGATAACTTTAAAAAAAACCACGGTAGAGGCAGGAAGGCCAGCTGTGAGCAAGCTAGTGAGTGAGAGGAAGGTGCAGGGCCGGTGAGAGTGAAGGGTGCTTCAAGGAGATAGGAAACAGCAATAGAGGAACTATGAGAGAAAAAGTCATCCTGCAGTAAACTGACAGGCACATACATCCCAAATTGCTGCTGAACAGGAGGAAGAGGGAAAGGACAAGTAACCTGCAGGCTACAAAAGCAAAGCAACATAAGCCTGCTGTTCCTTCAGAACTGTTACAAACCAAAATTTAATCCTTCTAGGCTGCTATTACTTCAGCTCATTCTAAGTATCACTTTCCATTTTGTAACTGCTTTTTTAGTGCACCAACTGTCTCAATACTGGACATTTTCTCCTGTAATTATGGAAGTATTTCTCATTATTTTCTGTATTTCTCTGAAACTCCTTAATAGACTTTTATTCCATGTTCAACTTAAGATGAACAATGACTACTAACATTCACAGTCTATCACTAAAAAGTCTATCCAAACTAAAATCCCTTTCTCTATATTCAGTCTCACTGTGTCCTGCCTAGGACTGACCTCTCAGTTCAAGAAAATCAGTAACTGTTATTCATGCTGGGACAGAGCTATGTAACAATAGATATAAACTATATTTGGTGGTGACAGCTTTTTGGTTGGGCAACCTATTTTCAGAAAGCAATTTACAAAATAACAAAATGCTCTCCTATGTGATGAAATGGTAAATACTCATGACTCTGAAACAGCAAGAAGTGTTCACATGTTCTTTGACACTGATTCTTTACATTTAGAGTTAGAAAAATAAGGTTCCTGATGGTCTGTTAATACATAAATGTGTGATGCAACTTCCCTTCAATGGAATCTGTTAATACGAAGAAATGCCAGAGCTGGTGTTTAATTAAATCCCTCACTGAAACTCATAAAGGTTACTGAATCTTGTTTTCATCCAACAGTGATAGAAGATACTAAATCATCCATATAGAAACATTTAAGTAAACTGCAAGTGCATATTGAGAGGAAATGTACCCGCATACATCTCTTGAAACAGATGACTACAGTACTCCAAATTCTTATACCACCATCAGTCTTCTGCTATCTAGCTTTTTGGCATGCCTTGAGGAACAACTGTACTGGGTCTGCCTGAGATGGAGTTAATTTTCCCCATAGCAGCCCTCAGAGTGCTGTGTTTTGCATTAGTAGCTAGAAAGGTGTTGATAACACACCAGCATTTGGTTACTGCTGAGCAGTGCTCACAGAGCATCAAGGCTGGGGGTGGGGAAGATCTTGGGAGTGGACATGGCCAGGACAGCTGACCCAAACTGATCAAAGGGATATTCCATACCATATGATGTCTGCTCAGAAATAAAAGCTAGGAGAATGGAGGGGGAAGGGGGTGCATTTGTTATTTATGACATTTGTCCTCCAGAGTAACTGCTACGCGTACCAAAGTCCTGCTTCCCAGGAAGTGGCCAGACATCGCCTGATGATGGGAAGTAGAGAATAAATATTTTGTTCTTCTTTTGCTTCCACGCACATGGCTTTGCTTTGCTGTTCTATTAAACTGCCTTTATATTGACCCACGAGTTTTGTTTTTTTTTTTAATTCTTTTTTTCCCCCCATCTTATTTTCTCCCCTCCCCATCCTGCTGAGGAAGGGGGTGAAAGAGAGGCTTGGTAGGCACCTGGCGCTCAGCCAGGGTCAACCCACCACAACAACATAATGCATCTAAAAGTTGCAGTTTATCTGAATATATTCTAATTTGGTTTAAAGAAATATTCAATTCCTGTTAAAATTCCTAACAAATAAATTACAAATTAGAGACACTAGGGTGCATATAAAATAGAATAAGAAGCCTGAACTTTACATTCTGAACTAGTGACAAAATACTTAGCCCACTGCGAAAGTAGTAGATGATGAAATCAGCTGACTGGATCTGTTCAGGTGTTAACATATATACAGTTTAAAAAAACCCTGAAACCTCACTAGAAGATATTTGAGTTCAAGGTGTATTATATTTATTGAATATAAAACAAAGCCCTTGAAACTTCCTTTCATGTTATACAGATGCTTAATTCATTTAAGACAGAAAAAAAAAAAAAAGAACTCACAGCATCAGTAACATAGAGCTGTGACCTTACTATATTTTGCTCTGAATTCCAGGTCTTGAGGCTGAGCGAGTTACAGTCCAAATACACTGCAATAAATTTTCAAGGCGAATCAATTTTCAGGGTCTCAAGGGACAGCAGCACATTGCTTCAGCACAATTCTCTGGCATACCAGGAGCTCTCAGCTGGCTGAGGAAGGGATGCAGCTACTTGAAAGATGAAAGAACCACTGAACACCCACAGCCTTACTAATGGGAATACTGCTGCTCTGCAGCAGTGGAGTTAAAGAGAAAGTGAAAGTAAAGAGAAGAGGAAAGGCAGGTAAAGGAGAAAATGTCCTGTGGAATATAGCTGAGCAGAAGAAATTAAAACAGACAGTAGAAAAAAGATAACTCGCCTCTCCTCACGATTCTGTCCCACACAGACGCGTCCTCCATGTCGAGGGGTTGGATTGCTGCAGGAACGCTGACGAACTTGAAAGCCTATTCCGCAAGTGGTACTACAAGGTGACCAAGAAGTCCATGGTGTCCAGCCTCCATTTCTGGTAGAATAAAAAGCTCAGGCTCTGTCATCTGTTATACATAGCGAATGGCTGATTAGGTGTGACTGACAGCAGAATCTGGCCCATTAATATTTCTGTAGAAGTCAGTAATACTGCATTGTGTTCCATTTCTTAGAGAATATTGAACTAAAATAAAGGTGCACTGATTCTTCCATATTCCATACTTTGTAATCAGCAACTGCTAAAGTGACCTCATTGGGCAAGAAGTAAAGTACAAAGATATGAAGCTATTTGGTTGCTTTTGATCTCTTTACTCAGGGTAAACTTCATGTGAAAACTCCTGTATCAAAATTCTGAAGATAACTTTTAATTACATATTGTTCCAATTATTATTTGTGGGTCTTTTTTTCAGGGGGATCAAAATGTCAAGTTTCGCTACCTCTTCTGAAAGGGAAGTGATTAAAGTCTGGAGAAAAAGAAAGCTCAGGGGACACCTTATCTCTGTCTGATCAGCAGCTGAGTGAACCGTCTTTAGTGTGGAGTAAAGGAGGCTGAGGGGAGACCTCGCTCTCTACAACTACCTGAAAGGAGGTTGTAAGATGTGGGTGTTGATCCCTTCTCCCAACTAACAAGCAATAGGACAAGAGGAAATGGCCTCAAGTTGCTCCAGGGGAGGTTTAGATTGGATATTAGGAGTAATTTCTTCACCAAAAGGGTTGTCAAGCATTGGAACAGGCTGCCCAGGGAAGTGGTTGAGTCACCATCCCTGGAGGTATTTAAAAGAATGTAGATCTGGTGTTTAGGGACCTGGTGCTTAATGGTGGACTTGGCAGTGTCAGGTTAATGGTTGGAATTGATTATCTTAAAGGTGTTTTTCAAACTAAATGATTCTATGATTATAAAGGAAAAAGACTAATAAGTATGTGTCAAAATGCATTAGTTTGCAATTTCAACAAGATACTCTAATAAAGTGCCAATGTCTTATTTGTAATGTAACAAAAGAGCTAGCAGAAGTCACATGCTGTATGCTGCATTTGTGAATTTTTGGAAAGGACACTGCTGTTCCTCCCCAGTATAGCCTAGGAAAAAGTACACTAGACCAAACACCTCAAAAGGAATTTCATACCCTGTCCTAAGCAAAAAATGATGCACTACAGCTGTTTGCAAAACCTTTTGATGGCTAGCTTGCAGTTTCTGTATTCGTAAAAGACAAATAGAAAGCAAGAAAAATACAATTAAACTATAATGAGTTCTTAACCATAAAAGCAAAATCTAAAATAGTGCCTTACTTGATTTTTAATTAACTTTTTTTAACAATGAAAACTAATTAAATCCAGTAATAAAAATGACATAAGATTATTCAAGTAATTTATCACAAATATTACCAATTTCAATTCCACTCATCTTGATGTCTTGTTATTATAAGAGATATAAGAGTTGATAACACAGAAAAAAAAAGCTTTTGAATAAAAAATAATCAGCTATTACTGGTAACACAGACAAAAAAAAAATCTGACGCTAGTGGTAAAATGAACAACTTATCTGGATATCCATGAATTCTGGGAATCAATTACTAATGTAGCACTGTTAACAGAAGTAAGATGTTAAAATAGTAGTGTAATACTGCCAATGTAGTACGTGAATCTAGCCTCAAATCATGTTCCAAATTCCCTTCTAAACCTGACAGCCAATAACTGTTGTTTGTTCAGTATCTCACAGCATATTTATCTTTTCTTGATCTGATGTTATATGCTATACTGTTATGTTTTTAATAGTTTCCCTAAAATCGACTGTTTGCACTTACAGAGCTTCCAATTATCTTATGCAGGATAATCAGTTTTATTCATTACCATGATGTGCTTCTGAGGGTTTTGTTTTGGTTTGTTTTGTTTTTTTAAGGAGAGAGACAAAAAGCAGAATCACTGAAAATAATCAGAATGCACCAGTGTATAAGTTTTATCTTTCAATTAAAGTATGTATAATGCTTTAAACATGAACTCCTAATGCAGTTCAGAATATTCAGTGTTCTAAGTCTCTTTGAAACTACCTACCCTCACTGTTTTTTCTGGGAATGGTTACCTGCCTGAGGAAGACAGAAGAGTGGCATACAGACTGGTAATAGATCCAGATGTCATGATACAATCAAAAGATATAATTAAAATATTTTTCCCAAGGAAGAATGGAGGAATACAACAGTGGCATAAGACCTCCAGAAAAGTAAACAGTTCTGAATTCCAGAAAAAAAAAAATTAGGACTAACAGAGAAAAAGTATTGTACTGTGGATATTACCTAACACTTATTTTCTTTCAGAGTTTTTGTTACCTGAGGAGTTTGAAATCACTATTTGCCAACTGGCTTATACCGTCTGCCACAAAGTCTGAGAGATACTTTCCAATGTCTCATTTGCTGTGGCCAGTGCTATAAACTGTTTCATCCACGGAACAGCATCAGTGGATTGCAGATGAGATTTTAAAGGGTAGGTTCTATTGTGATTAAGTTAAAAACTTTTAAACCATAAACGATAGAACTTGGAATTGTTTTGTGTACCTGGAACAGTTGGCAATCTCCATGGTTGGTCCTTCACACAGCCAGCCTCCACACTGAGGAGCAGGACTGTCACACACCCGTGTCCTGCAGAGACAGGAGCCAACACTGGCACCATCAGTGTGGGTGCAAGGTTTCCACTGTGACCATGTTCCAAAATGCCCATCCACTGTCAGATTCCTCATCTAGAAACAAACACAACAGAAAGGCTTACTTAAGGCCTGACAGTCTTTATACAACCTCTTAATTCTGCAGTACATGGAGGTACAGCCTTAAGCCATCAACAATAAAAGCCCCCCCTGGAGAGGTATACCTTCCAGACAGCAAGCTCCCCTTATAATTTCTGTAGCTGCATAATTCCCACTTCCAACTGATTTGGGGCACTGGGTGCCACCACTATAGCAATAAAAATAACCACAACTAACTGTTACCTTTAGCAACCATGTTTGCCTACAGTCATTCAATAGAAAGTACAGTTTCACTTTCTCGATTATCTACTAATGACAGTATTCCCTATTTCCTAAAATTTACCTGTGGTTAGGAACCTTGATACTAACTGTAAAACAGTATGTGCAAGAATGCCCGTGGAAACGCCAAATCTAGATCAAAAGGAAGAGGCAGCAGAGGATAATAGTCCAGGATAACAAAACTGGATGAATCAAACTCCAATCTCCATAAGTGTCTTTTTTTTGACAATAGTTTTTTGAAGCACATATCATATAGCACCATTTCATAAAAGTGAAATGTGGTTTTAAATATGACCCTCTCTAAACGTTAGATTTAATTATATGCATAAATCCTAAAAACATCTTCAAAAAGCAGCACCTAACCCTGCATGATGAGACAGTTTGCTCCCACTGAAGTTAATTCTCACACTTTTGGCTGGAAGGGTCAGACTATTCTCGTCTTGACTGGAATGTTTCCATCATGCTGCCATAACACATGTTAATAAGAAATCTTTATTGTCTAGCTGAAACAAAATGTGCTAAAGGAAATTGCAGCAGCCTCCATGGTTACTGAAACTTCTAAAGAAAATGGAGCTGTACATGGGGAATTCAGTTCTCTTAACAAAGATAGACTTTCATATTATTAACTTTTTTACCAAGGTGTTAATCCTGACAAATCTGCGACCATAAATGGAAATGATAGCCACTTTTTCACTTAAATGTTAAGGATTTGCCTTTTGATTGTCACATTTCAACTTTCAGTCAAAACAACAGTACTAACAAGTGCAGGCTAAATAGCATTTAAAGTCACTCAGATAAAAACAAATATGTATCAGTTGTAGTCATGCATATTTTATCAAATGTGTAAGAATGTAACACTTCAACATTTGATTACATATTGATATAGGAACTACAGTTGTAGATCATCATGAATGATCTGAAATAGCATCTTCCTTTGCTGTTTTTAGTATTTCATTTTAACAGCAGTAAGGGAAGTTTGAAGATAGAAGAGATGCGATTACAGCACAAGACATGTTTCCATTGCCACACTGGCTGCTGGCCGATTCTTTTCACTGTGGTAAAGGTTTCATAATTTCACTATTAGTTACATTTCTCATTATTTATTTTTCAGAGATACAGCTTCTCCTCAGAACAGCTATGTGTATATTCTGCCAGCTACAACTGACATAAACATAATTCATATTTTCAAAATTCTGTTGACAGCTGTTTACTAAAAATAACTCGGTGATCTTTGTTCATGCAGAGTATACACTGTTGTTTTTCATAAGACAAGAGGAAATACTTATTTCTTGTTAAGTGACAAGTAAACCCATTTTCTCTTATACTGCTGATCTAACAAATATATATTCCATAAACTAGCAATGATATGTCCCCAATCTGATTAATGTCAGAGATGCGAAAATATCTTTACTGCTTTCTATTTCTATGCTGCATCAAAGCACCTTTATCATTGTACCTACAATTATAAACTAAAGATACAGTTGTCTATGGTTACCATAATTTATATCAAGTGGTAGGGAAAGTATTCATAAAACTTAGCTGAAAGCTTGAGCTCAGAAGGACGTACTGATGGCAGGTTTCTCTCTCTTGATTTTTTCCCCCTACTCCTGTAAAGATCATCCCACTGCAATCTCTGCTTTTCCCCATGACTCACCTGCTTCCTCTATCAATATCTCTCTTTCACAAGTGATATCAACCAATTTCATCATAGGACTATAGGAAAGCAAAATGTACTGATGAGTAGTAGCCCTCACCAGAACCTATGCCCATTAACCGTTCACCATCTTACACACCTCAAGGGGAAAATCACAATCAATCCAACAATACGGCGGTACTTTCCCAGCACTGCTCTGCTCTGCTTTCTCTCTCTACCACC